GTCTAATTTTTATAGATTAAATGTTAAAACGGCTTTCCATAATATGACTGTGATAGGAACTCTGTCCTAGATAAAGCAGATATCTTCTGGTTAGCCACAAGAACCCTTCCTTTATCTGCAACTACGTCCAAATCTCTCATGCACATCTGTCATAATCACAGTGGACTGAATAATATTTATTCTGAAAGCAACATAGTTGACTCATGATGTAAACATATACTTTTAAGTTTAATTTGATTAATTTCACTGCAATGCTCTTATCTAAAAGAATCTGCAGTTATTGTTGGAAACATGAGCTTGTTAGAAAGAAAATTTTGTTTTTTTAGACCTCACTGACAAAGCAATTGACTAGTATGAAATGGATCTGGTAAAAATTATTATTATTATTCATTTATTTTATTTTTGCTGTTGAGCTGCTGTCTGTTTTATTTTAATTTTTTAAACACGTTTGATTTAACTTAATTAGGAAAAAAATAAAAACACAGATAATTGATCGTTTTATTCATATATTTTATTATGTTCTCACTGTAATGCTTTCACAGTAATCATTTATTCTCATTCAGAAATTGTCATTAGCTTGATCATGTACAAAAATGATCTCCTTTATGGGTGATTCGGGCCTGGAACAAACAAAATAAAAAAGTTATTCAAAATCTCCTTATTTAAAATAATTTATCACCATATTACTGTGGAAAAAAGGACATGATTATAAACTTCTGGAGTGGGTATTTCTGTGTACCTACTTGCAGATATGAATTTTAGTACAGATGGTTTTTGGCCCATCATCGGTCATCAGCTCATCAATCAGATAGTGCAGATACTTCTGAACAAAGTGCTTGCACTGAACTTTCAGCAACCTGATTTTCTCACAGGCGTTGTTCAGCTTGGTTTTGATTTCATCCTGAGGAAAATGATGGATTTAGTCAAAGATGCACGGTCAGTTCAATGATGTGACATTAATCGTGACACCCACCGGCGTTGCGTTGGACGAGATTGTCTTTTTTACCCTCTTCATAATGGATTTGCACATTGAGCACTCAGCAGATGACGGTTTCATCATTTCATCATCAGCCTGAAAAACATCCCAATATGAAACAAATATGTCATGACCGCACAAGTCAATGATCTGGCACCGCTTAAGGGTTTGTTAGGCTACATCAACCATATTAT